TTGGGGAGGTTGAACGAAGGTTGCCGTCGTGTCGCCAGCAGCACCTGTAGTCCAGGAAGTTGCTCCGGTAGCCCAGTCGCAGCCACCTGTGCCAGTTGCCCGTGGGTCCGTTGCTCGTCTGCCGCTACTTTTAGCCGCGGGGCCAGTTACTCCAGTAGTCCGGAGCGCTGTTCCGGTAGCCGCTGTGCCAGTGTGCCTCCTGTTGCCCGTGTGTCTGCAGCTTCAGTCGTCGCCTCCTATCTCCTCTCCTCTTACAGTCTCGCCTCCTCCTCCTCACTTGCCCTCTGCGATAGCCTCTAGCTTTGCTCATAATTGTGAACTTTAAACTATTGCTTCTTGTACTTGTCCTCAGAATGTGTGGTGACATTGTGATCCACCCTGAGCTTGTTCTGCTTTGCTTGCTCTGCTGATTACACCCCACTTTGGCTATGGGGGTGTGTCAGAATGTTATGCTCTAGCCTGTAGTGGGGTGCTCTATAGCGAGTACAACCCTTCTACGGTTTGCTATTTGTATCCTCATTCCTGCTAGTGAACCCCCTCTTTGCCTAAACTGTTTCTTGCCTAGCTAGGGCTTTCCTAGCTATGGCGCCTTCTTCTACTGCTTATCTTCACAACTGTTTCCTCTAGTTATAAGCACGATTCGGAAACAAAGTCGCCACCAGCAGGTCCGCACATACCCAACAAAAAAGGAAACATTCCAGAACGCTTGGATAACCAGGACAGTGTTTGGAAATACTAGCCCTAACTACGGGAAATTGTTAAGAAGTTAGAATTATCTGCTCCGACAAACGACACCGCCCAGCGGAGCTTGCTACCCGATGGAAATTAAAAATAATCCTCCTACTGAAAAGGCATCCAGTCAGGATGGCACCAACCCTAAACACCTTGTCGCATAATGTTTAGGGGTTGATGCCATGCAAGGGGGCTTTGAATTTTCTTCCATTTTCTAAATGATATACTATTTTCTTTACAATCTTGAGATCACGTAATGACATGCGATTAAATATTCAGGAAGATTCAATGAATTGTGAACTCTAGAAATATTTATATACGTTCAGAGATTATTATATGTCTATAGTATGTAATTGAAGGCTAGTGTTACTGTATTACGGTGAGATTATTCTCATTCTGTATATTCTATCCGCTGTAGAACGAAATATAAATTGTGCGTTCCAAGTTATGGATTGTTTAGCATCTTGATAAAAATTTATGCAGATTCAATGAATTGTGAACTCTAGCAATATATATATGCGTTCAAATTCATTCATAAAAAAAAACTAAAGTGTGTTACGTCGATTCGAACGTAACCAGGTATCTTTGCACCCAAAATGGTCGCGTATACAGGACAAAAACCAGCAACCCGAAATATAGTCCCTAAATCTGTACAGTGTTTCAGGGCGGGTCAACTAAATGATGAGAGGGTTCATCTGTGAGAGCAAAGTTTCGAGTGTGACTACCCGTGATAGAATTTAGTGCCTTTGAGTGACGGCGGGTGATACCCGTGTGATGGTTCGTGATAGATTTGGCGGAACATGTGACCGTTCGTGATAGATTTGGCGGAACATGTGACTGCTCGTGATAACTCCGAAATGTTTTGTGATGGCCCGTATAAAAACCCTTCAACTTTCGCAGAGCTGCCAGTTTTATCTTGGCAGATCAACATCAAATAAGATATACAGGATGTTTACTGCGGTTTCCCATGCGGTTTAGTGAGCTATAACGCGGTTCCTCAAACCTTCACCTCGTACATTGTGAGGAAATTGAGGGCGTGTGTGATAGTTTCTAGGTTCCAAAAACGGGTCGAACTTAATGTGGTTACCACTGTCGTATATGTCGCGAGAAGGGCTTGGCGAAACCGTCCCATTTTGAACACACGGCAAATGCGACCTAGATATATGAACTCGACTCGACTCAGTACATGAACGTGCGCGTGCATGATGAATCGAACGTGTCAAGGAACCGCACAACCTTTAGGGTCGAATCTCGACATTCGACCAAAGTTGTGTCATTGTGATTGAATGGAAAAGTAACTTGCGGCTCGAAACCTCGAAAACAGCGGAATTCGACTACAGTTCGCCCCAAATTCAAAAGGAACTTCGCCAATGCAAACTTATGCTATTTTCGAAAATCACACACGCCCTTAGTGCTCGATATGCAGATTAGGACGTGTCTCATGTGAAGGGTCCGCTGGATCTGGTCCGCGACCAGAATCTACACGCCTGGTCCGGGGTTCTGGTCCGACGGACCCACTTGGCGGACCAGCGTTGGACCAGACACGGACTGGTCTGCCTGATGCGTCGCGCTTCGGGCTGCACAGTATTTGCGAGATGCAGCAGTAGCGACGAATTTGAAATTGAGCTACCCATTTTCTTCGTCTGCACAAAAATCTCACGCGAAACTTACAAAACAAGAAGTTTCGCCAAAAAATAATGTTTCACCACCTACTGTTTACGGACCAGGCGCGGACTGGTCTGGAGGGCCAAATAAATGGCACCGTTTTAGTGCCATTCGAACGGTATAACGGGGTTACAAGCCCCGCATCCTGGTCCCGGTCCGCCCTGGTTCACGCGCTGGTTCTTGAGCTGGTCCGTCAGGTCCGAGCCGGACCCACGTGGACTCAGACATCTGAGACACCCTCTTACTCGCACGTCATCGATTCACGTGATCAATATAGGGCTGCGAAATTGATTTGCAAGTGTGGACCATGGAAGATTATCTCTCCAGCGTGGAAGGCGGTGCTGTAGATTTCCGGCAACTTGAAATCGTACGTTTTCGTCAATAGATTTCCCCACTGGATTCCTTGACGTGCTCAATGCTCAGAATCGCTTACACACCCCATCCTACAAAATCCATCCGACGTGGAAGGCGGTGATGCTGGAGGGAGCTTCCGTTGTCTTCCACTCGCAATCGTACATTCAGATTCGATAAAGTCTCAAGCGATCAAACTATCAGCTTCGGCCTGAAGGGTGTTGCACTATGCTGGCGGTTAGTACCGCGTCTGGCCCTTGGGGTCCAACGCATCGCCACCGCGTTCGCCCTCATTGGTCACCCGCGTATCGCTCGATGGGCAGACAACCGCAATGGCTCTGGAAGGAAGGGAAAATTTGTTTCGCATCTGGAGCCTCTCGCCATCATATATTGCAGCGCGTGATTGCCTCAGCTTCACATCACCAACTCGTTTCAAAGTTAGGAACTTCACTAGAGTCTCGTTCCGACTACTACTACGTCCACCGCACTGCACTCCACCTAACCACAGCCTCCAGTACTGCTATCGCGTTTTGCGTGCAGCATGTCCCATCATCACGTAATGGCGAGCCGCCCCCAGCGATACTCTCCTACAACTTTCGCGAACCGCCACGTGTCATTCTCTCGTGGAGCTTCGCGATCTTTATCCACCGCACTGGAGGGAAGAGCAGCAGGCGGAATGTGAATTTGAGCATCGGCTAGACTCTTACGCGTCGGACCCGGTGCTTTCTCGCCGTGTGATCCACTGCGGCCCTGCACAACGTGCCTGTGCGATTCCCGCCGCGTCCGCTTCTCCGCGAAAGTTCCGCCTCCCTCCGCCGCGGAGATGCGCTGGGGTCTGCCCACCGCCGTGCGCGTTCCGTCTCTGACGCGTGCGGAAGACGGCTCTTGCTCCCCTCGCCTCCCAGCGGGGACAAACCCGCCGCCTGCGCGTTCCGCCGCCGCCGCCACCAACTCGCGCTTTCCAAGAAACCCCCTTCTGAAGCCAACGCGGCCGTTGCCATGGTCTTCGAAACTCGGGCAGCAACAAAAAGTTTCTCTTCACGACCTGCGAGCTCAAGAGACAGAATCATAAGACACGGGAGTTTGTTTTATTTCCCTGAAGACGAAAGCACGAGGAAGCAGCGTTCAGATAGTGCTGAGGATACCACGCCGTTGCCTCGGGTCTTTGCGCGGAGTCAAGGGTACTCCACTCCAGCGGCCGTCGTTGCCCGACACACACCAGCGCCTCATAGAAAGCCAGACTCCCACGTGGTAGCTACTCAGGCATCAAATGCAGCAGCACAGACATCATCAAGTGCAGCAGCAGAGGCTGCACCATCGGCAGCAGCCCTGGCGGCATCAGGTATAGTTAGCAGATATGCAAGGTCATTCTTCTGGCGGACTGCCCCCCATGAACATCATGTTGGTAGCAGCGCCAGTGCTGTCAGTGCCAGTGCAGTCAGTGCCAGGCCCTCCACCAGCACCCCTGCTTCTCCCACTTCCTCTCGCACTTCCTCTGCCTCGCCCCTTTCTGGAAGAACTTACAGCAGCAGCAGTGCACCTTGCTCTCCTCGTCCTCTACTACCGGTGCCTTGTGCTATGCTCAGCCGGCCCGGCACTGCACCCAGCGGTAGGCGGGCTGGTGATGAGGCTAGGAGGCACCAACCACTGCGTGTCAAGCCGTGCCTCCCTGCTCCCCCCAGCCCTTGCAGCTTAGAAGCATGCCTGCCTAGCAGAAGCCCCAGGCGTGTGAGCTTTGTCAAATACGTTGAGATTCTGGAATATGTTGCCTAGGCAGACAAAGAAATGGTGCCATCAAAGTGGCCGAAGATGTCAAATACATGCGCATCAGTGCAAGTGTGGTGTTTAAAAAAGGTGCACTTGTCCAGTAGCCTTGCAACCAGGAGATGAGAAGCAAGGGAAGAGAGTATCAGAGAGTATCTTGAAACCGGCTCGAATGAATCACCCAGCTCCGCACAAGTTACCCATGGGCGTCTATAACAGCGTGTACTCTTATCGGGCATATTCAAGGACAAAAGAAACTACAATGTTTGGTTAGTCTGCCTGGCATCAAATGTCCCACTCCCATCACTCGTCACCACCACACCACCCTTACCCTCCTTGGCTTTCCCCAGAGCCAACTCTTTCAGCCCCTTCCACAGCGCTTCCATATCCACCCCCTCCCCTCCCCCCTCCTGTTTTCTCCCCACCCCGGCCGCCTGCCCTCTGCTCCCTGCTGTGCGCTTGGCTAGCCCGTCAAAACGACACACACATCACTCGTCACTACCGCCCTTACCCTCCTTGGCTTTCCCCAGAGCCACCTCCTTCAGTCCCTTCAACAGCGCTTCCATATCCACCCCCTTCTCCCCTCCCTCCCCCCCTTCCCCCTCCCCCGCCTGCCCTCTCCCCCCTGCTGTGCGCTTGCCAATGGCCGCGACAACAGCAGAGTGCAAGGCGGAGAGAGAGGAGAAGTCTGTGGGAGAGAGCGAGGACTTGAGATGGGTGATGACAGCGGAAAGAGCGCAGCCGGGGGCCTGAAGGGCCTTGTTGTGTGCCTGAGTGGGGGTGGGGGAGACGAAGAGGGGCAAAAACGGATGTGGGGTAGTGGCAGAGGCAGAGAGGCCGTGAGGGGACTGTTTTTGAGGTGCCTTAAATATAGAGGTAGTGGCAGAGAACCTTTGAGACGTCTCAAAAGGGGGGCACAAACGGATGGGAGGTACTGACAGAGAGGCCATGAGGGAAAGCAGGTAAAGGGTTTTGTTGGGAAAGGCGGCTGGATGGGAGGGAGGGAGAGGGGGAGGGAGGAAGAGATGAGCTAAGGTTGAAAATGATAGGAGGAAAGGAGGAGCGGAACGTTTGTGTTCGTTCCATAAGGAGCAATGATGCCGAAAGCTTGTGTGCAAGAAGGGAAGAAGGAAACCAGGAAGGTGTGGAAGGGAGAAAGGGCAGAAACGGAAGAACGAGCGAAAGAAAACAGCAGGAGAAAGAGGGGAAGAAAGAGTGGAAGAAAGAGGAGAAGAAAGAGGAGAAGGCAGGAGAAGGAGGAGCGGAAGAACGATCAGGGAGAAAGAGAGGAAGGGAGAGAGGCGTACCTGCATGAAGAGAAGAGCCACAACGAGGGGGAGTGCTGCAACAGCATCCTCCTCTGCCTCGAGCTGTAGCTGAAGACTCTGTTGGTGGGGAAGGGAGGGCGGGGAGTGAAGAGGCAGGAGCTTGGTGGCAACTTAAGAAAAGAGACTAAGCTCGAACGGGCACAACCTAAACAGCATCGTCCTCTGCCTCGAGCTGCAGCTGAAGACTCTGTTGGTGGGTGAAGGAGGGTGAAGGAGGGTGACGGAGGGTGAAGAGAGAAGAGAAGCGTTTGCCAGCCACTAAAGCAAAGAGATTAAGCTCGAAGTGGCACGGTGTTAACAGCATCCTCCTCTGTCTCGAGCTGTAGCTGATGTCTCTGTTGGCGAGGAAGGGAGGGTGAAGGGATGACAAAGAAGGGGCTGGTATGAGATATACAACAATTAACAAGTCATACAAAAACAGCATCTTCCTCTCCCTCGAGCTGCAGCTGAAGACTCTGTTGGCGAGGAAGGGAGGGTGAAGAGAGAGATGGGTTTAACAGCAACCAAAGCACAGAGCCAGCACGAGCTGGCACGACATGGGTTATCTGCTTTAACATAGTCTGAACATGAAGCGCTGTCCCCAACACTTCCAAAGAACAAAGAAGCCCCCACAATGTTTGCTCTAGCAATGTGTAAACGCCTAGCGCAATCCTCACCACCTTCATTGAAAAGTAGAGAGCACGCTAGTTTTTAGGCGCCCCAAAACTAGACCATGGCAATTACTCTAGCATGGTCTAAAAGCCTAGCACTGTCCTCACCTTCTTCACTGAAAAGAGGAGAGCGCACACAGCCTTCTTATCTGGGTTCTGAGGCGCTCTAAGTACCAAGCCCCAAGCACAGTCCTCACCTTCCTCATTGAGAAGAGCAGCGGCTGCTCAGCCTTCTTATTCGGGCTTTTGAGGCCCCTTAAGAACCGAGCCCTAAACCCTGTCCTCACGTTCTCAAGTGTGCGTGTGTGTGTGTGTGTGCAGCCCAACGCACTCCTCACCTTCTTCATTGAAAAGAGCAGCGCCCGCTCAGCCTTCGTATCCGGGTTTTGAGGCGCCCTAAGAACCAAGCCCTAAGCCCGTACTCACCTTCTTCATTGAAAAGAGCAGCGCCCGCTCAGCCTTCGTATCCGGGTTTTGAGGCGCCCTAAGAACCAAGCCCTAAGCCCGTACTCACCTTCTTCATTGAAAAGAGCAGCGCCCGCTCAGCCTTCGTATCCGGGTTTTGAGGCGCCCTAAGAACCAAGCCCTAAGCCCGTACTCACCTTCTTCATTGAAAAGAGCAGCGCCCGCTCAGCCTTCGTATCCGGGTTTTGAGGCGCCCTAAGAACCAAGCCCTAAGCCCGTACTCACCTTCTTCATTGAAAAGAGCAGCGCCCGCTCAGCCTTCGTATCCGGGTTTTGAGGCGCCCTAAGAACCAAGCCCTAAGCCCGTACTCACCTTCTTCATTGAAAAGAGCAGCGCCCGCTCAGCCTTCGTATCCGGGTTTTGAGGCGCCCTAAGAACCAAGCCCTAAGCCCGTACTCACCTTCTTCATTGAAAAGAGCAGCGCCCGCTCAGCCTTCGTATCCGGGTTTTGAGGCGCCCTAAGAACCAAGCCCTAAGCCCGTACTCACCTTCTTCATTGAAAAGAGCAGCGCCCGCTCAGCCTTCGTATCCGGGTTTTGAGGCGCCCTAAGAACCAAGCCCTAAGCCCGTACTCACCTTCTTCATTGAAAAGAGCAGCGCCCGCTCAGCCTTCGTATCCGGGTTTTGAGGCGCCCTAAGAACCAAGCCCTAAGCCCGTACTCACCTTCTTCATTGAAAAGAGCAGCGCCCGCTCAGCCTTCGTATCCGGGTCTTGAGGCGCCCTAAGAACCAAGCCCTAAGCCCGTACTCACCTTCTTCATTGAAAAGAGTAGCGCCCGCTCGGCCTTCTTATCCGGGCGCTTGAGCATGATGCCGAGATCCTTCTCGGCAACTTCCTCCAGGGGCAGCAGCACCCCCTCCACCTCCTTGCCCTCCACTGCCGCTACCATCCTCCTATGTTGCAAAAGACGCTCAGGGCGTCGTGCGTGCTGCGTCCGGACGCAGCGTCCAAGACGTAGGACGCGGGACGCTCGCCAAGACGCAGGACGCTTGGCGGGTTTTTTTTTCGGGCTGACCGATTTTTTTTTTGCCCCAGCGCGAAATTGACATTCGCGATTTCGACGCGACTGTCAATTTCGCGTCATGTCGACCCCCCCTAACCCATTTCGACCATCAAAAACACCCTAGTGGGTTTACCAACACAATTCTCCTTCGTAAACCCTAAACCCTGAAAATTTGAAGGGGACAATTTTGCCTCAAATGTGTGCAACGTCGTTCCTCCCCCCCCCCCACCCCCCCCCCCCCCCCCCCCACCCCCCCTTTCCCATGCCCTATAACATGGTTTTTTGGCTGCCCGGGCGTTTTTTTTGCCCTGCCCGGGCAAGCGTCTTTTTCAGCGTCTCACAGGCCCCCATGAAGCGTCCTGCGTCTAGGAAGCTGTGAGGATGGCATCCTCACAGCCCGCTCCCTCGCCCCGCCTGCTGGGAGCAGCTTTGAGGCCTTGCCCCTTAAGAACCAAGCCCTAAACCCCGTCCTCACCTTCTTCATTGAAAAGAGTAGCGCCCGCTCAGCCTTCTTATCCGGGCGCTTGAGCCGGATCCCAAGATCCTTCTCGGCAACTTCCTCCAATGGCAGCAGCACCGCCTCCACCTCCTTGCCCTCCACTGCCGCTACCATCCTCACAGCCCGCTCCCTGGGCCCGCCGCCTGGCAGCAGCTTTGCTAGCGCTGCCCGCCTTGCTGGAGTGTAGACGATTGGGGTTGAGCCGAGCACCGATGCCCCTGATGCTCCGTTCTCCCTCTGTTTCTGTCCACCCTGCTCTTCTCGCGCCGTCGCTCCTGCTCCTCCATCTGCTCCTCCCCCGCTCACTGCTTCTGCTCCAGTGCCCTCTTGCTGCTCCCCACTCTGTTTCCCACTTTCGTTGTTGTTGCTGCTGCTGGCGTCATCATGGGCAGTGATGACGTCATGGTCCAGAAGCACGGCGTGCAGAAGCAGATCGACAGGTTCGGAAGCCGAGGTTCGGAGAACGTGGCGAGAAATGAGGGCCTGGTGGATGGGGGAGCGGGAGGGGGAGGGGGAGGGGGAGGGGGAGGGTTATGGGGTGTTGCTTTTGAGAATTCTCAAAAGCAACCAACATGGGGGGAAGAAACTAGTAGATCTTGGAAGCTGTGGTGTGAGACAAAGGGTGTGGTGGAAGTGGGTGGAAGAGGGAGAGGGATAAGGGAGAGACTAAGTTTGGAGCATATGCAATGTGGTGGAAGGAGGGAGAGTGATAGTATTAACGGAGTGTGGTGAGGGAGACGTGTTAGGACAATAGAAAAAGGAGGGGTCGAAAAGTCATTGGGAGCAGCAACTGCTTCTACCAGCATACCCGCACAGAAAAGCAGTGGCTGTATCTCATTCGAGTTGAAAGCCAGTGGCATACAGAAGTCATACATACAGTAGCAGCGCAGCCGACTCACAGACAGCCAAGCCAAGAGATGGTTCTACCGGCACACTCACAGCAGTAGCCACGTCTTCATACAAACACGAAACACCACTGCTTCGTGGGAATCACAGATACGTGCACAGGCAGAGCAGCTAACCTATTGACTTGCTTCTAACGGCACTCACAGCAGTGGCTGCGTCTTCGTCTGAGTTAAAACCTGCTGCCCCGTGTGGCTACATACAGTAGCAGAGCAGCCAACTCAGAGTCAACCAAGCCAAGAGCTGGTTCTACGGTCAACCTGCTGCGCACTCACCGCAGTGGCTGCATCCTCATCCGAGTTGAAAGCTGCTGCCCCATGTGCATACAGCACCAACTGGCCCAGCAGGGCATTCACTCGAGACTCCACTGCCTCTCGCACCTGCCAGCCACATGCACACACACACATGGTTAAGCAGGACTCTATGTTACACAAGAATTGGGCAGACAGACAACAATCTGCAACATGTTTCATTTCCAGTATATCTAACTAATCATTAATGCACCTTTGTTACGAGCGGTGGAGCAGGGCTTGTTAATTGGTATCAAGCTTATACTCAAGCTAAAAAAATCAAGAACACTAAAGCAATGTACGGCAGCTTATCCGAACCTGTCGCCGAGTCTCGGTGGTGCTCCCGGACGTGAACGCTGCGGCTCGGCGACGTTCCTCGGCCCAATAAGCAAATAGGGCGGGCTTCAGGGCGGCCACTAACACACGAGCAAGGCCGGCCGAACCCCCTCCCTCAGCATCATCAGCCTCATCGTATTCAGCAGCATCGTCATCTGGTAGAGATGGGATTGAAAGAAGCACCTCAGATGTGCGATGAGATGGGATGGATGAAGCAGTGGTGTCGACTTCAGTGGTCAGAAAAGAGTCAATTTGAAACAGGTTCAGAGAAAACGCATACCAAATGTATACAGACAACTTCTAACAGAGCACACATGAGACTGTGATGAGCAGGGTGCAAATTTCGCCGAATTTTTCATATTTTGGGGAAAAAAATCGCTGTTGGAATTTTCCCCCGTAATTTTCGATAATTTCGGTCAGAAAAGAACAAATATTTTTGGTGCAAAATTTCGTCCGAAATTTTAAGAAAATAAATATAAAATCGTGAATAAATGGGAAAAAAACGATGGGTGCAAATCTTACTGGCATTGCGCCGCCAGATTTAGGCAGATCTGCCATGTAGGCACCAGATCTCTGCAGATATCTGGCATTTCGCTGCCAGATCTGGACGGATCTGGCATTTCGCCGCTAGATTTAGGCGGATCTGAAATTTCGCCGCCAGATCTAGGCGGATCTGCCAGTTAGGCACCAGATCTCTGCATATATCTGGCATTTTGCCGCCAGGAAAATTTGGGCTTTTTTTTTTTATTATAAAAAAAAATCGCCGAAATTTTCAGAATCTGCTCGAAAATTTCCAAGCGAAAATTTCCCTGACCGCAATTTTCCACCTTGGTGATGAGGCACCTAATAAGGAGTATACCAGCAACAGTGGCCTCCAGCAGGTCAGGATGCCACGTCAAGAACCAATCGTGTCATCTCAGCCACCGTCGGCATCGCCTCGTCTTTTCTGCCCCTCCGTTCTGCACCTCCCCTCTCCCCCTCCACCTCCTCCTCCTCTTTCCCTTTCCCTCCTCGCCCTCCTCCCCCACCTTTCCCCTTTCCTCCCTTTCCCCCTCCTCCCTTTTTCTTCCCCTTCCCTCCTCTTCCTCCCGTTTCCTCCTCTTCCTCCTCCTCCATCTCCCTTCCCCCACCCCTCTTTCCTCCTCCCTTCCCCCCTCCTCTCCCTCCCTTCTTCTCCTCCTTATCCTCTCCTCCCTTCCCTCCTCCGCCTTTCTCTTGCCCTCCTCCCCCTCCACCCCCTGCTGCCGCACTCCTTGTGTTTGCTCTCGCCGCTGCTGCTGCTGCCACTGCTTTCTCATGCAAAACGGATTGCAGGCGCTGGTGAATGGACTGCAGGGAAGAGGAAACAGCAGGGCAAAGGAAAACGAGGGCAGGGGAGGGAGAGGAGAGGGGAGGGCGAGAAAACGGAGCAGAGACGGAAAGGAGAAAGGAAGGTGGCAGACCTGGAGTGAGCGAGGACTGAGGAGCGAGGATAGGCAAGAAAGTGGGATGAAGTGAGGGCGGAGCGGGAGTGCTGGTCTGGTCAGAAGAAGGAGCAGGGTTGGAGTGGTATATTTAGAAATCTCAAGGAGGAATGGGCAGGATTACTTGTGAGAATTTTCACAGGTGATTAAATCCAGCAGATCTGGTCTGATCATAAGGACAGGCAAGCGATTCCAAATCCAATGTAGCTGGTCTGGTCACAAGAAGGACAGGCCAGGGGTGTGTGCAGGTGGCATTTGTTGGGAAAGAGAGTGGGTTGAAGGGGGTGCGGGAGAGGACGAGCTTGGTGGAGGGAAGGTGGAAAACATAATCACTGCGCTGCTGGAATACACACACACTTGCAGGAGAGTAGAAGAGACCACACAGTTGGTTGGTGTTGCTTTTAAGAATTCTCACATGCAGGAGAGCAGAGGAGACCACACAGGTATCGCCGTACCTCCGCCCCATCTAGCCCCTGCCCCTCTGCAGCAGCACGGGCAGCGGCACGGGCAGCAGCACTGGCAGCAGCACTCGCAGCAGCACTGGCAGCAGCACTGGCAGCAGTATTTGCAGCAACAAGAACAGAAGCTTTCTGTGCGCTGAGCAGCACAAATTACGCTCTGCGCAGCAAACATACACATGCTTACCTGCAGGAGAGCAGACGAGACCAAACACGTATCCCCATACACCTCCGCCCCATCCAACCCCTGCCCCTCTGCAGCAGCAGCACCACCAGCACCACTGGCAGCAGTACTGGCAGCAGCGAGGGCAGCGGCTTTCTGTGCTCGGAGCAGCACGGGGCAGAGCTGCAGCAGTTGGGCGCAGTCAGAGGGAGAGAGCGCTGGGGGGAGGGCTGTTGCTGCATCGCACCTGGAGGGGGAAGGATGGAGGGGAGAGGGGGGGAGATTGGAGAAGAGGGGGGAGGCATGGGAGAGGTAATTCTCTGAGCAGCACGGGGCAGAGCTGCGGAATTTGGGCGCAGTTGGAAGGAGAGAGCGCAGGGGGGAGGGCTGTTGCTGCATCGCACCTGGAGGGAGGGAGGGAGGGGGAATGCTTGCAGCGAAGAAGGTAAGCAGGTGGGTAAAGCAGGCGGGTAAAGCAGGTGGGTATAGCAGGCGGGTAAAGCAGGTGGGTATAGCAGGCGGGTAAAGCAGGTGGGTAAAGCAGGCGGGTAAAGCAGGTGGGTATAGCAGGCGGGTAAAGCAGGTGGGTATAGCAGGCGGGTAAAGCAGGTGGGTAAAGCAGGTGGGTAAAGCAGGTGGGTAAAGCAGGTGGGGAAAGCAGGTGGGGAAAGCAAATGGGGAATGCAGGTGGGGAAAGCAGGTGGGGAAAGCAAATGGGGAATGCAGGTGGGGAAAGCAGGTGGGGAAAGCAAATGGGGAATGCAGGTGGGGAAAGCAGGTGGGGAAAGCAAATGGGGAATGCAGGTGGGGAAAGCAGGTGGGGAAAGCAAATGGGGAATGCAGGTGGGGAAAGCAAATGGGGAATGCAGGTGGGGAAAGCAAATGGGGAATGCAGGTGGGGAAAGCAAATGGGGAATGCAGGTGGGGAAAGCAAATGGGGAATGCAGGTGGGGAAAGCAAATGGGGAATGCAGGTGGGGAAAGCAAATGGGGAATGCAGGTGGGGAAAGCAGTGGCAGAGAGATTCGAGGGCCTAGAGGAAAGTGGTGAGGGGGGAAGGCACGTCGGTGAATGGCGGCTCATTACAGAAATCAGCCACCACCACCACCACCACCACCTCCACCACCACCACCACCACCACCGCCACCACCACCACCACCGACACACCCACCATGACTTGGCTGTGATCGCCTCTTCCACGGCAGCGTCCAGCTGATGCACCAATGAGGAGTGGACAAGTGTCGAGTCCAGCAGAAGTGCACTGCTCTTATCGGGAAAGAGAGACTCCAGGTACTGCCGGGGTTGGGGGATGCCCAGCTGTCGCACTGCGGAGAAGGTTATGAAGGCGTTCTGAGGGGTGAAGAGGTGTGTGGAGGGGTGGAGTGGGAGGGGGATGGGCCAAGAAATGGGAGATGGAGTGAAGGTAGTATAAACAAGAGACTCCAGGTACTGCCGCGGCTGGGGAATGGCCAGCTGCCGCACTGCAGAGAATGTGATAAAGGCGTTCTGAGGGGTTAAGGGGTGTGAGGAAGGATGGGGAGGGAGGGACAGGGGAAGAGGAGAGGGAGGGAGTGAAGGGGAATGATGAAGAGAGACTCCAGGTGCTGCCAGGGCTAGGGGATGCCCAGTTGCTGCACTGCAGAGAACGTGATGAAGGCGTTCTGAGGGGTGGAGAAGTGTATGGAGGGGTGGAGATGGCATGGAAACGGTGTAGGGAGTGGGTGAATGTGGATTGGAGCAGCAATGCGCTGCTCTTGTCAAGAAACAGAGACTCCAGGTACTGCCGCGGCTGGGGGATGCCCAGCTGCCGCACTGCAGAGAAGGTTATAAAGGCGTTCTGAGGGGTGAAGGGGTGTGTGGAGGGGTGTCGATGGAGGGAGATGGATCAAGAGGAGGAGAGGGAGGGAGTGACGGAGGGAGAATCAAGTGACTCCAGGTACTGCCGGGGCTTGGGGATGCCCAACTGCCGCACTGCAGAGAAGGTTATGAAGGGTTCTGTGGGATGGCGGGATGTGTGGAGGGGTGGAGTTGGAGGGAGACGCGGCAAGCGGAGGAGTACAGGGGAACGATGAATGGGTACTGCCAGGGCTGGGGGATTTCCAGCTGACGCACTGCAGGGAATCTGATAAAGGCGTTCTGAACAAGTGCGGAAAAGGGAGCATGGGAACAAAGCAGGGGAGACCCGACTCTCCTGTTAGACCCGAGTCACCTGGCTGGTTGGTGCATCTGAGTTTCCTGGCAGACCCGACTGACCTGTGAGAAGAATGCCTCCACGCTCTGCCGCTGCAGCTGCGCGAATATCTCCGGCACCCACCCTGTGCCCCCGCCCTTGCTGCTGCCCCGCACCTCCCCCTCCGCCACACACTCCCCAAACACCCGCGCAAACATTGCCGCCTCTGCCGCCCCTACTGCCTCCGCCTTACCCCCTCCCCCTCCTCCGGCCGCCCTTCCTGCTTCTGCCCCCCCTGCAGCTTGTCCCTTTGCTTCTGCTGCTTTGCTTGCTACATCCTGAGAGGCTTCTGTTGCTGCTTCTTCCATGGGCCCACCAATGCTAGCTGCAGCATCAGTGGCAGCAACACTACCATTGCTAAAACCACCACCACTACCAGCAGCAGAATCAGCAGCAGCGGCAGCATTCCCAGCAGCAGAATCAGCAGCAGCGGCAGCATTCCCAGCAGCAGCATCCTCTCCTGTCTGCTTCACCTCCGTCCCATCCCCATACTCCCTCCCATAGTCCCTCCCCAGCTCCCGCACCACAGACGGCCAGATATCCGCCATATTAGCAGCCTCGGTAAGAGCCCGCGCTGCGCCCCTCACAGCAGCGCGCATGCGAGCCATGTGCGCGCCGGTGAAGAGCTGCCCGCCGCTCATGGTGCCGTGGATCTGCAGCAAGCAGGAGGGGGAAAGAGTCGGGTTATTGAAACGAAGCCTTGATAAGAGCCCTAGATGCTGCTCCCACAGCTCCCCTCTCACAGCAGCGCGCATGCGAGCCATGTGGGCGCCGGTGAAGAGCTGCCCGCCGCTCATGGTGCCGTGGATCTGCAGCAAGAAAGGGGGGGAGCTTCAGGAATATTATTGAATCCTTAAATCGGAGCTACGGGTTCTTGTCTCACTAACAGTGCTCCCACCCCAGCCATGTGTGCGCCTGTGAAGAGCTGCCTGCCACTCATGGTGCCGTGGATCTGAAAGAGGCAGGGGGAAAGGGCTGGGTACAGGGAGAGTTGGGGTGTTAATTCGAAGCGCTGGTATGGGGTACTCTCATCAGTGGCGCGTGGCGCCCACATTGAAGCACAGACAGACACACAAACCCCAGAACCCTGCAGTAAACCCCACACCCCGCAATCCCTAAATGGCACAGTACCCACCCACCCATGATCCCAGGCGCGATGAGAGAATCGAGCCTGTGAGCTCCGCGCCCACGTTGGAGCACAGGCACAGACAGGCACGCAGAACCCAGAACCCTTAATAAAAGGGCACCCACCCGCAATCCCAGGCGCGATGAGAGAACCGAAGCCATTAGCTCCGCGCCCTCGTTGAAGCACAGACAGGCGCAGCCATAAAACCCAAAACCCTGACATAAACCCCACGCCCCTCACTCACCCGCGTTCCCAGGCGCGATGAGAGGATGGAGCCCATGAGCTCTGCGCCCACGTTGAAGCACAGGCAAGCGCAGCCATAAACAAAAACCCTGGCATAAACCCCACACCCCTCAAACAGCAAAACCTCACTCACCCGCGATCCCAGGCGCGATGAGAGAATGGAGCCCATGAGCTCGGCGCCCACGTTGAAGCGCATCGCCAAATCAGAGACCGCCACCTGTCCGCTCTCCTGCAGGGCTGCATCCACCTCGTCTGCCACCCCGTCCCAGTAGTCATGCGTGATCAGCTCGCCCTGCACCAGTTGCACCTGCTCACGAGCAAGGGAGGGAACAATCTTGTATGCTTGGGTGTGTGTGTGTGGCCTGGTTAGGGCAGCAACCACCTCATCAGCCACCCCGTTCCAGTAGCCGTGCGTCAGCAGCTCGCCCTGCACCAGTTGCACCTGTTGAGCGTGGCAGGGGCACATGGAAAATACAGGTATCGGGCAAGAGGGTCATTGAAAGCCAGGTCTGCCACCCCGTCCCAGTAGTCATGTGTGATCAGCTCGCCCTGCACCAGTTGTACCTGCTCACGAGCAAGGGAGGGAACGATGTGGTGAATGCTTGTATTCTTGGGTGTGTGTGTGTGGCCTGGTTAGGGCTGCATCCACCTCGTCTGCCACCCCGTCCCAGTAGTCATGTGTGATCAGCTCGCCCTGCACCAGCTGGACCAGTTGAGGGTAGGGGAAACGCATGCAACACACAGGTATGGGGCAAGGGAGTCAGGGGCGGTCAAAGGCCAAGCCAAGTCTGCCACCCCGTCCCAGTAGTCATGCGTGGTCAGCTCACCCTGCACCAACTGCACCTGTTTATGATAATAGGAGTCGGGGGGTCAAAGAGGGCCAAAAGGGGTCAGATTTGGCGAAAAACGGTCAAGTGGGGTCAAATCAAAGGAAGCGAAAAGGGGTCACTAAGGGATACAGGTGGTCAAAACGGGGGACAGACAGCCTGTGTCTTGGCATTGTGTAAGGTCTAGCTAGAGTGTTGATTGTCGCCTGTTCACAAAAATAACAGACACACCCACTTTCAGCAGCGTTGACACCCACCCACCCATGCCTGGCTTGGTGATAAGGAATGAGGAGGCTGTGATTGGGACCATTAAGACTGTACGCGGTGGAAACAGAAAACAGCACAGGACAGCATAGGACAGGGGACAGCACAGGACATGACAGGACAGGACAGGACATGACAGGACAGGACAGTAAACGCAACCCATGGCTGCTCTTGCGTCTTGGCATCCTCCAGACCAGAATGCGCTTCGCCCCCCGTTCAGCACCGTTTCCAGGCCCACCAACGATGACTGTATGACATGTGCGAACGCACTACACTAACCTCTCTTCCCATGTCAACTGTCGATGTGGGGGTGAGGATGAAGAATGTGATTGTGAGCATGGTGTGACTGTAACGGTAACACATACCCACGGCTGCTCCTGCAGCTTGGCATTCTCCAGAATGTTCTTGGCTGCCCGTTCACAATAGAAGAGATCCACATTGAGCAGTGTGCCCAGGTCCACCAATGACACTCTGCCACGTCGCCGCACCTCCTCCTCCAACTCCTGCTGCAGTCGCTCCTGGGAAAGCACAAAAACGAGTGGGGAAAGAGGAGAAAATGAATGAAACAAAAAGTAAAGACTTCTGGAGTTGCACCCAGTGACACAACACTCATTCAGCCATGCCATGCCATGCTGCCACCCCTCCATCCCCACCTCCTACTGTACCTGCGCGATGTACTCCTTGCCATTGAGCGAGAACAGCAGGTCGTCACCCAGCAGCCCCATGAGAGTGAGCTTCATGTAATTTGTGTATCATATATATATAACTAGTCCACTGTACCTGCGTGATGTATTCCTTGCCATTGAGCGAGTACAGCAGGTCGTCCCCCAGCAGCCCCATGGCGGTGGGCTTGGAGACCAGCTCCACCACGTTCCTCTCCGACAGCCGTGTCGACTCAAAAGTCTATGGATGGTTACTGTTCGTACCTGTGTGATGTACTCCTTGCCGTTAAGCGAGTACAGGAGGTCGTCCCCCAGCAGCCCCATGGCGGTGAGCTTGGACACCAGCTCCACCACGTTCCTCTCCGACAACCTGGTCGCTGCTTTCACTTCCTGAGCCGCTTGGAACTGCTGCTGCAGCAGCAACAACTCCTCGTCCATCTGCGTCGGTCCAGGGGAAAAGGAGGGCGGTTGAGAAGCAGCAATGAGAACACTGAGACAAGATCCACAGGAGGGGTTACAACTTACTAGTCACCCAGATCCGAAAGGGCGCTTCCACAGTTCACCATCATTCGCAATTCACCCTCCCAGGCTGCCCAGAGCCGCTACTGCAGCAACAGCAAGGGCAGCTCTTTTACTGATACACCCCACGTTGAATGGCGCTTGGGAGAAGGAGCACACACCAGCCGCCATCACCCTCTGCACCGCATGGAACGGGCAAACGGGTCGGATCGGGACACGAGCAAACAGGTCGGATCGGGCCACGTTGGGTCAGGTTGGGTCAGGTTGGGTCGGGTTGTGTTGAACCGATCTGGGGTTTTGGCCAGCTCGGGTCGCACCTCTGGTGGGCTCAACCCAACCAACCCGACCCGACCCAACCCAACCCAACCCGACCCGACTTTCGGGCCAAGATTTTCCAGTGGGACGACTGAACCCGATCCCTTTAAAGGCGGGTCCGGTCAGACTATTCCTCAGGCCAACCAACCCAACCTGGTTCGACTCAGTGCTCATCTCTACCTTGCTGCTGCAGGCTATACAGTACAACTAGTATACATAAAAAAAAAAACATATACATGCATATTAATTACACCGTACATCTACATATGTATGTGTACGGATATGCATACAAGCACCCTTTCAATTTCAAATATTGACAACCGCCTCCATCCTGGCCCACAGGTTATATGACTTCTAGGTCAACTAAAAGCCCGCCTTTTCTGAGACCACTGGCACCTTTCCTCCTGTTCGGCTCGGCACTTGCCTTGCCAGCGTTTGAGTCGACTCAGCGTTTGAGTCGACTCAGCGTTTGAGTCGACTCAGCTTTTGAGTCGACTCAGCGTTTGAGTCGACTCAGCTTTTGAGTCGACTCAGCGTTTGAGTCGACTCAGCGTTTGAGTCGACTCAGCTTTTGAGTCGACTCAGCTTTTGAGTCGACTCAGCGTTTGAGTCGACTCAGCTTTTGAGTCGACTCAGCGTTTGAGTCGACTCAGCGTTTGAGTCGACTCAGCGTTTGAGTCGACTCAGCGTTTGAGTCGACTTAAAAGCAGACTCCTGCTCGGCACTTGCCTTGCCAGCTCACCTTGACAAATCTCGAGGAGGCCGCAGGCTGGGTTGGAGATCTCAAGAGGCCACGTGGCACTCAAAATGGCGGGCGACAGCCTGCGGGGCAGCGGATGGAACAGGGGGGTGGGAGGGGGTTGGGGGGTGGCGTAGACGGAAGGGGGTTGGGGCGAGGGGGTCAGGAAGGGGCAAGGAAGAGGAGGAGCGGAGGGTGAGGGGTTGTGGGTAGGAGGGGGAGGAGAGGAGTTGATGCGGGAGCGGAGGAGGCAGGCGACGGTTCAGGTTGTATCTTATAACGCGGACGTCATCATGGGGGGAGCGTAGGTGCTCGCGCGCCTGTCCCGCTAGTAGTGCTACAACAGCTAGCTGCAGAGCAACATAGCCGGCGCCACAAGAGTTTTTGAAGATTGCTGTTTTTTTATTCAGTGACAGACGTGAGCTTCTTGATAACCGGCTTGCCACAGGAAATGGCTGCAGAGTAAAGTAAGGCGCCGCCACAGGAGCTGGGTGCACCCAGGCGGGGTTCGCGCGACGAAGGAAATGGGATGGGGGAAACGCGACGGGGGGAACAGGAAGGACGAGGGGAGGCGCGATGCGGGAGTGCGATGGGGGGATGGGGGGAACGTGAAAGGGGGGTCACGCCAAACGCCAGCCAGCGCGCGAGACGGAGCCAGGGTCTATTTCTAGGCTAGACGCGGTTGACGCATTGGAGCCTGCCTCCGAGTCCTTGACACAACCAGCAGGAATTCGAGGGCGACACAGCGCGACACATCTGCGACAATTTCTGCGACAAATTCGCCTAAGTGCCAGCGCGCGCGACACAGCTGCGGCAGTTTCTAGGCTCGACGCGGCTGACGAATTGGAGCCTGCCTCCGAGTCCTTGACACAATCAGCAGGAATTCGAGGGGACGAATCGTCGGAAAAGTTACGCGATCCCCTCATAACGGTTTTGCGGTGCAACGTTTCGAAAATGTTACGCTAGCTCGTCAGCGCATCTTATCGAAATGCAAGCGACGGCTTTATCTACCTAGACCTAACAGCCGAGGGTACGAGACGGTCACCTAGGGCTTACCTTTGGAGATTATCGAGGATGTATTGCGTAGATTCGAAATGTGTCAGAACCATGGCCGACGGGGGATCAGTTCCCCTAGCCAAACGACATATGTCCTCGCTACAAGATTGCGGCTACTTCAGGATATCACAACATATATTGTAACTTGTGTACTATACGTAACGTCACAACAAATCGGTTTATATATGTAACGTGTCATGTACCATTTGCCACTCTTACAGTCAAGGCAAGTAGCAAATGAAGAGTTGGACTTGCCAGGAACGCAAAGCAGGGAATTCACTGAACATATACATGGAATACACAAAGCACATAAGCAATGGTCCAACCCATACGCTGCCATATGGGACTTGCAAAACACACCTAACGTACTACTACTCATAACATCCTCCCCTTGTCAACCACCTCTTCTCACTGAATCATGGAAGACTGGAAACTTCACATGCAGGGGAGGGATCAGACATGGCTAAATGTCCTAATACTATAACTTCCAGAGGACGAGCTTTGTCTCTCTCACGCGGTGATATCAATCGGCATGCCTCTCAGAAGTTCCTGAGAACGCGCTTGGCCTCGCGGACACCGGAGAGCAGGGCACCATGCACGGTGGCCTGGTACTGCCAGATGGTGTGCTCCCCCGCAAACAGCACCCTCCCCTCGGGCAGCGCCATCACATCATAGTCCGTGCAGTGATCCTCGTTCCCCCGCACGCCCACGCGCGCATAGCTGTACGCGCCCCGCGAATACGGTTCGGCAGTCCAGCGCTGGATCCAAGTGGCCAGCGGCTCAAGCGGCTTCTTGCGGTACTGCGGGAACATGCGCGCCATCTTCGCCTTGGCGTCGTTAATCACTTCCTCATCGCTCATTGTAGCCATTTTCTCCGCATACTCCCCTAAAGCTACGCCTTCCAATGCCGTCTGCCCCCACGCGCGCTTCAGGTTCACCCAGTCAACCCACCGCCCGCGATTTGCGGGCAGCTGTGAATCTTCGATGAAATACTCGTCCACGTTGACCGGCCAGAAGGTTTGGTTGAAAAAGAAAAATATTTTCGCAATGGCGCCCACGCCCAGGCGCGAGATTGCGCCGGTTTTACGGGGGGGGAGGGATGGGGAGAATGCGATGGTGTTGGCCTTGAGCACCCCGAGAGGGATTGTGACGATCACCACATCGGCTGAAAGCGTGGAGGTGGCGCCGCTGGCGGTGTTCTTTCCGGTGATCTGCACGCTGGTGGAGGACTGCGAGATGGCGGTTACTTCGAAGTTGAGTAGCAGCTTTGCTCCCTTTCCTTGTGCTTCCTGGTGGGTGGGGGACAAGGGGGGTTGGGGCCAAGGAGAATGGAAACAGGAGTGAGAAAGAGATTTTGCTGCTGCTGCTTACGCTTCCTGTGGTGGGTGGGTGGGGAGGAGGGAGGTTGGGAAACGGATATGGGAATGGATCAACCATGATGGTTGAGGGGTTGAGGGGAGTGAGAACGAGCTTTGCTCCTGCTGCCTGCACGTCCTGCGGTGGGTGGGTGGGTGGCGGAGGGGTTTTGGGTTGGGAAGAGTGGAAGTGAGCAGGGAAATAAGAGTGGGAGCGGGGTTCAGAGTGAGCTTTGCCCCTGCTGTCTGTGCTTCCTATGGCAGGCAGATGGGAGAGGCGGAGGTGTAGGGTGGGTGCTAGTGTGAACGGGAATAAGAAACAGTTAGTGCGGTAAATAAAAAGACTAGTTGGAACTTGTGTGAGACCGGACAATGCTCACTCTTATCCACACCACTCACTCTTACACCCACCACTCACTCTTACACACACCACTCACTTACACACACCACTCACTCTTACACACACCACTCACTCTTACACACACCACTCACTTACACACACCACTCACTCTTACACACACCACTCACTTACACACACCACTCACTCTTGCCCTACTCAGGTCTCCCTCCCCACCATGATCAATCGGGCCCTTCTCACTCACTCTCATCCCTTCTCCCTTCTTTCAGCCCCAATCTCCAACCCTCCCCTCACCTGCATGAGCATCTTGGGGATGTTGTCATATCCGTTGGTAACCACCATGGTGGGCGGGTCGAAGGCATCAGAGTCGTAGTACCAAGCTGAGAGGTGCGAGAGCGCCGTGCCGAAGTTGAACTCGTAGTCCACCGCCAGGCGGGACTGGAAAGCGGAGATTCAAAGAGCAGGAAGGGGAAAGGGTAGAAAGAACCACATGAAGGGGGGTGTGATGAGAGAGAGGTGCGAGAAGTTGAACTCGTAGTCCACCGCCAGGCGGGACTGGAAAGCGGAGATTCAAAGAGCAGGAAGGGGAAAGGGTAGAAAGAACCACATGAAGAGGGGTGTGATGAGAGAGAGGTGCGAGAAGTTGAACTCGTAGTCCACCGCCAGGCGGGACTGGAAAGCGGAGATTCAAAGAGCAGGAAGGGGAAAGGGTAGAAAGAACCACATGAAGGGGGGTGTGATGAGAGAGAGGTGCGAGAAGTTGAACTCGTAGTCCACCGCCAGGCGGGACTGGAAAGCGGAGATTCAAAGAGCAGGAAGGGGAAAGGGTAGAAAGAACCACATGAAGGGGGGTGTGATGAGAGAGAGGTGCGAGAAGTTGAACTCGTAGTCCACCGCCAGGCGGGACTGGAAAGCGGAGATTCAAAGAGCAGGAAGGGGAAAGGGTAGAAAGAACCACATGAAGGGGGGTGTGATGAGAGAGAGGTGCGAGAAGTTGAACTCGTAGTCCACCGCCAGGCGGGACTGGAAAGCGGAGATTCAAAGAGCAGGAAGGGGAAAGGGTAGAAAGAACCACATGAAGGGGGGTGTGATGAGAGAGAGGTGCGAGAAGTTGAACTCGTAGTCCACCGCCAGGCGGGACTGGAAAGCGGAGATTCAAAGAGCAGGAAGGGGAAAGGGTAGAAAGAAACACATGAAGGGGGGTGTGATGAGAGAGAGGTGCGAGAAGTTGAACTCGTAGTCCACCGCCAGGCGGGACTGGAAAGCGGAGATTCAAAGAGCAGGAAGGGGAAAGGGTAGAAAGAACCACATGAAGGGGGGTGTGATGAGAGAGAGGTGCGAGAAGTTGAACTCGTAGTCCACCGCCAGGCGGGACTGGAAAGCGGAGATTCAAAGAGCAGGAAGGGGAAAGGGTAGAAAGAACCACATGAAGGGGAGGGTAGAAAGAACCACATGAAGGGGGGTGTGATGAGAGAGAGGTGCGAGAAGTTGAACTCGTAGTCCACCGCCAGGCGGGACTGGAAAGCGGAGATTCAAAGAGCAGGAAGGGGAAAGGGTAGAAAGAACCACATGAAGGGGGGTGTGATGAGAGAGAGGTGCGAGAAGTTGAACTCGTAGTCCACTGCCAGGCGGGACTGGAAAGCGGAGATTCAAAGAGCAGGAAGGGGAAAGGGTAGAAAGAACCACATGAAGGGGGGTGTGATGAGAGAGAGGTGTGAGAAGTTGAACTCGTAGTCCACTGCCAGGCGGGACTGGAAAGCGGAGATTCAAAGAGCAGGAAGGGGAAAAGGTAGAAAGAACCACATGAAGGGGGGTGTGATGAGAGAGAGGTGCGAGAAGTTGAACTCGTAGTCCACCGCCAGGCGGGACTGGAAAGCGGAGATTCAAAGAGCAGGAAGGGGAAAGGGTAGAAAGAACCACATGAAGGGGGGTGTGATGAGAGAGAGGTGCGAGAAGTTGAACTCGTAGTCCACTGCCAGGCGGGACTGGCGGGGGACAGGGAAACACAACTGGAGATATGAGACAAGGGGTGAGAAAAGGGTAATCACGGGGAGGGGGGGGGGTGGGGGGATGAGAGAGAGGTGCGAGAAGTTGAACTCGTAGTCAGGCGGGACTGGAGAGGACCAGGCAGGGAACATAAGGGGCGATATGAGTGTGAGAAAAGGGTAGCCACAGGGCCACAGGAGGGTGTGAATGAGGTGCGAGAGTGTGCCGCACGCACACACCATTCCTTGGGTTACTCTCTTTCCCGCTCCCAACCCTTCCCTCTCCCCTTACCCCTCCCCTTCCTCCTGCCTTTCCCCTTCCCACCCCCCCTTCCTCCCCCACCTCCACTTCCTCTCCTCCCACATCCCTTCTCTCCCCCCTTTCTTGTTACCTGAGCATAAGGTTTCTCACATCCTTTTCTCCCCCATCCCCCACCCCCCACCACATTACCTCCCCCATCCCCCACCCCCCACCACATTACCTCCCCCATCCCCCAACCCCACCACATTACCTCCCCCATCCCCCACCCCCCACCACATTACCTCCCCCATCCCCCACCCCCCACCACTTTACCTCCCCCATCCCCCACCCCCACCACATTACCTGAGCATACGGCTTGTAGAACATCTTTCGCTTCCACGGCCCGCTGGTGAACGCCTGCTGCAGGCTCACATCCTTGTTCTGCTTGCCCGCCCAGGCCAAGGCTTGCCGTACCAACGTCTGATACTCCGCCTCCGCTGCCGCCCACTCGGCGTCCCCGTACCTCCTCCCATTGGCTGTGAATTGTATTTCTCGCCCGTTCTGCTGCGCAATCTTGAGCTTGAATTTCCGAGCCAGAGTGGTAACCGGGTTACCTGAGGCAGGGGGAGCGGGAAAAGGGAGCAGTCCAGCCCAGATAATGGGAAAGAGAAGGTGGAAGGGGAAGGGGAAGGGGAATGCGAAAGGGTATGGGTGGTGGAAAAGGGAAGTCGTTGGCATCCCCGTATCTCCTCCTGTTGGCTGTGAATTCTTCTTCCCGCCCGATGCTGAGCTTGGATTTCTGAGCCAGAGCGGTAACCAGGTTACCTGAGGCAGGGAAAGCAGTCGAGGAAGGGGAACAGCACAGGAAGGGGGGAAGAAAAGGCTGAAGGGGAAGGGAAAGGGGAATAAGAAGAGGAAGGATAGGAGAAGGGGATGGGGAAGTTGAAAGAGAAGGGGAAGTGGAAAGACAAGGGGAGGTGGAAGGGGAAGGGGAAGGGGAAGGCGAAGCGGAAGGGGAAGGGGAAGGGGAAGGGGAAGAAGAAGGGGGGAGGGGAAGGGGAAGGGGAAGGAGAAGGAGAAGGGGAAGAACAAGGGGAACGCGAAAGGGAAGGAGAGATGGCAAGGGAGTGGTGAGAAGCTAGGGTCCAGGCGGGTAATTCCTGTGGCTCACTGCGGTAAGTGGAGTGTGGGGGTGTGCGATGGAGTGCGAGTGACGTGTAGGGGAAATCAAGTGTCCGAGTTGTAACCCTGGCACAAAGCACACACATCAAACTAAGGACTGTGGTAACAGTGTAACCAGTGCTACAAGTGGCAGTGCACAGGGCCTGTAACAGTGGTAACGGGGTCATCTATGGCAATGGTAACCAGGTTACCTGTGCAGTGGTAAAGGATTTGCCTGAGCTACTGGAACCGGGTTACCACTGAGGCACTGAGGACTGGGTTACCGTGTGGCCAGGGTAACCGGGTTACCTGTGGCGCCCTCGATCCACTGCGCGCCCATCAGGTTACCTGTTGCATGTGGTGGTGGTAATTGGTTACCTGTGGCGGTTACCTGTGGTGGTGTGGTAAGCAGTGCGTTACCTGTGGCGCCCTCGATCCACTGTGCGCCCATCTCGCCTCGCAGGAACGCAGTGGGCGAGCCGGCAGGGGCGGCCTCCGTTCGGCTCCACATGCGCCCGCCCACCCTTCCGCGCGCCTCCACCACCGTCACCTGGGGGAGGGGGATGAGGAGGGGGAAAGGGACACGCGGAAGAGATGAGAGCCCAGCCCACCCTTCCGCGCGCCTCCACCACCGTCACCTGGGGGGAGAGGGGGGAAGGGGAAAGAGAAGAGGCCGTTAAGAGAAAAGGCCACCCTGCCGCGCGCCTCCAGCACCGTCACCTGGGGGGGAAGGGGGGAAAGAGGCAGGCGGAAGGGATTAGAGGTGGCTCCACATGCGCCCCCCCACCCTGCCGCGCGCCTCCACCACCGTCACCTGGGGGAGGGGGCAGAGGGATTGGGGAAGGTAGAGATCAGAGGCCGATAGGGTCCATTTTGAGGCGCCTCAAAATACTCCTCATTGCAGAGGGATTGGGGAAGGTAGAGATCAGAGGCCGATAGGGTCCATTTTGAGGCGCCTCAAAATACTCCTCATTGCAGAGGGATTGGGGAAGGTAGAGATCAGAGGCCGATAGGGTCCATATACAACAGTCCGGTCCTCTACCACCGTCACCTGGGGGGAAGGGGGAGGAAGGAGGTTCGAGGGGAGGAAGGGGGACAGGGGGGAAGGGAGAAGTGGAACGGGGGGAGGAACGGGACAAGGGGGAAGGGAGAAGAGGAACGGGGGGAGGAAGGGGGACAAGGGGGAAGGGAGAAGAGGAAGAGATGGAAACATACTTTCTGCGCGCGTCGGAGAATGGAGAGAGAAGAGAGACTGTTAGGCTTGCACACCACGTGCAACAGCCCACCCCGCCGCGCGCCTCCACCACCGTCACCTGGGAGGGGTGGGGAGGGGAGTGGGGAGGGGAAGAGTTGGGGGGTGCTGGGAGGGGGAACAGCGGAGAAGGGAAGGAGGGGGGGAAAACGGATGGTAAAACCCCCCTGTACTACGAAAGGACACACAGAGAAGAAGCGCATATAATGCGCAATTTTTTCTAAACGTCAATTGTTTCAAAAGTGTCAAGAAACGTATCAATAAATGTGTCAATAAATCCGTCAAATGACAGCGTCCATCGTACATTGAGTCTGTTTTTTAGTCGACTAAAAAATAGACTCATCACACACAGCGTGAAAACTTCCGGTAAGTTTTGAGACGTCTAAAATCTCGTTCCCGACCATACGCATTCTAGGATCTTGCACGGCGGAACGTACATTGCGTAGCGGAACGTACATTAAAGCATTCGCCGCCGGTGGCGGTGACGATGCGGTAAGCAGCCGAAACGCCCGACATGCCAGCGCCGACCACCACCACCTGCCGCACGCGCGAGCACGCCGCGTCCGCCGCTCGCGGCACGAGCAGCGCCGCCAGCAGCAGCGGCAGGAGAAGCGGCACAACATTATGATAGTAGCGGCCACGCGACGACGACGAGGAAGAAGCGGACCATCGCGACGTTCGCGCCGCCTTGAAGGCAGCAGTCGCACGAGTGGCGCGGCAAGTTGCCGCTGAATTACTGACGCGCGACGACGGCATTGCGACGGCGCGTCGCTGAGAAGAATGGGAGGGGTGTAGGCCTAGAGAGGAACGGAAGGAAATGAGGGAATCGATGGGGTACTGGCAGACACTGTTGCTCGGAGAAAGGGACGCTGTTCGCGGGAAGCCGCCACAAGCTTGCCTTTTGGTTGAAAATCTGGAAATTGTAGGGGGGCTCAGACGCTGGGTTCAAGTGGCTGTTGGTTGGGTTGTGGGATACAAGGTGAGCAATCGTGCCATATGCACACACGACAGCAATTTCACGTGGTCGTAAATGTGTGCGCAACACACGGTCCCCCATTTCGCCCCCCTGCTTGGTGCTTGTGTGCGACCCGGCCGAACCGAACCGAATGGTGCTCTTTCCTTGTTCGTCCAAACCAAACCAACAGGCTGGACCGTGGGTGGCGAAAATCGTAGAACAGGCTGGGATGTCGGGATACTGTATCGCGAAGCGGGGCACTGAGGGAATGTCGGGATGTGGAATTGGATTTTCTCTGATTTTCCTCAGGCGGCCACAGTCCCTCCCCAGTCTCGTCCTGCCCAGCTTCCCGACTGCTTGTGCGTGGTGTGTGTACAGCGCAGCAAAGCTTCAGATACACCATACTCGATACAGCCGTATTTATGGAAAATGTACAGCACCATGGTTTTTTCTGTGGTTTCTTCCTATCATGGTAGATTGTAAGGCGAAACGTGAAGCCCAAAATGTAACTCAGATCTACCCTATCCGCCACACCGACAAAATCCATCGTGGCTGCTTCTGGCTGCGCCAGCACACATCGCCCACATCTCTGCCCAAGCACAAATCCCCTCCCTTTCGTCACGTCACAAATCCCTTCCTTTCGTCAAGCGCACATCTACCCCTCGATACTGTCGCAGGGTACTGGTTACCACATCCACCCTCCATCACCCTTCTCCCTCCACTTTCTTACCTCCTGGTCAAGGAGCTTACTTACCACTTCCCTCTGTTCTCTAAGGGGCTGACACTAGAGCGACCGCATTCAGGGCAGTCGGACTTAGTCGGTTCCAGACACATCCAAATTAGGGTTTCGCCATGGCTGCCCTTCAGTCTCTCGCTCTGACCCCTCTCACCGCGGCCCCTAGCGCGTCGCTCGATAAGACCTCCAGGCACGTCCCTCAGTTAACCTCCACTTACAGCTCGCGTTTTATTTCCTGATTGGGTTTCCTATCGCTGCATTTACAGCCCTAGTGTTCAGACAACCCTAGCTCTTATCTGTGTCCGTTTTTCCGCGTGTTTGACATCGCATAACACGTCATTGGTAACCCGTTGTTCCTCGGCTGTTGTGCTCTGTTCCTCTGGAATGTTCATGTTCTGGCCACCAGCGAGTTCTGGGGAAGCCGGACGTCTTTGAGCCTTCCCGCCAGGAGAGATGGCGCCGTCTGCGCTAGAATGCCCAAGGTCAGGAATCTCTAGGTCTAAACTGGCCACGCAAAGCAGTGAGATTGACATTTTTGGAACGTCTCAAAGCCCAACGTGCATTTTCCTTGTTCTCCCACCCTATGCATCATACGCGTTGACCTTCTCTCCGCCTGCTCTTTCGCCAACCAACTTGAGACCAGACATAGCTGTCGTGCAGTTGACTCTCTTAGCCTAAGATTCCACTGTTTCGCACATCGTGAGTGCAGATATTCCTCACACTTGGACGCACCTCCTCGTTCTACCCGGCTCGCAAACGGCGGAGAAGGTCAAGAACGTATTGAAGCCAGATTGACGCGTCGTGACATTTGTGTTCAATACATTGTTTCATTTCGTGTGTCAGGTGGAAATGGCCATCTCTCGCAAGAAGAAGGAGCAGACGGTCGAGAAGGCCCGCCAGCAGCTCGAGAACTGCAACCTCGTCGCCAGCATCAACTACAAGCGATTCACGGTAACCCGTTTCGCTATGTTTTCGTTAGACGTTGTTATTGAAAAGAACTCGCCATCAGTTTGAGAGTTGCAACCTCAGCACCTATCACAATCGTTTCACGAAGTGATGTCTTGCATGGAACGGAATGCACGGTGAGCCGTCAATGCGGTCGTTCTGAACCAACGGCTGAACAAGGCGGAACGATGAATCGTGGCCGTCGATCTTGAGAGGGACATGTAATGTTACCAATGACAGACACTGCTTCCAGCAGTTAGGGTTTAGATGGGAGCATGTTGACGATTCCGGCTTTGGAGGAGATGATTTCAGGTCAACGGATAGATTGAGGATGGAGTTAGCAAATCGGTTGGTGATGGGCGGCTGGGTATGGTCGCGAGATTGCGCCACGTCAGCTGCGCGCATGGTTGGTTGGTGGCATAGAGATCACCGGCGACGGAGGGGGAGCGGAGGTCAGGGGAGCGGGGAGCAGAGTGGAGGGGGAGGGAGGGGAGGGGGAGCAAGGGGAGGTTGAAAGTCAATAAAGGAGGAATGGGGGAGTTGAGGGCGAATCGGGGGAGAACGGAGTCATGCAGCGTAGGTGGAGTTGATGGAGCAGATCGGATTATATTTTGCGCCTGAAGAACAGATAGAGCTGATGGACCCGCCGGCAACTGGCAGAGGACCATCTAATGGAGGACTGGCATAGTCGGTAGCGGAAGTGGGAGGGGGAACTGAGGAGGAGCCAAGGGGGAGCCAAGGGGGAGCCAAGGGGGAGCCAAGGGGGAGCCAAGGGGGAGCCAAGGGGGAGCCAAGGGGGAGCCAAGGGGGAGCCAAGGGGGAGCCAAGGGGGAGCCAAGGGGGAGCCAAGGGGGAGCCAAGGGGGAGCAAGGGGGAGCAAGGGGGAGCCGAGGGGGAGCCGAGGGGGGGCCGATGGGGAGCCGAGGGGGGGCCGACGGGGAGCGGGGGAAGGAAGGGGGGGGGACGAGGGGGGGCTGAGGGGGGTGCTTGAATCGACTTCAAAACCGTATGGTGTTTACAGCAGGAAGAGGCAGAGGGCATCTGATAGAGGACTGGCGGACGAGTCGGTAGCGGAAGTGAGAGGGGGAGCCGAGGGGGAGCGAGTCGAGGGGGAACTGTTAAGTGCGCTTGAAATTCTCTAGGCGTGCGGCGATAGCGATCGCGGGGCCACGTACGAGCGTCGTGACTCTGCGCTCTTTGTGGCGACGATTGATGAGGCGCGCCTCAGAAGTAGCGATCACAATTCACGTACAAACATCCCCGTCTATTCTCGTTACCTCGGTTTATAGCGGTGTCGCTCGGTTCACAGGTGTGCCTCGCCCGATTGAGCCTGTGAGGCACCTGTGAACCGAGTTTCACAACAGGACAATCTCCTCCCCCTGCCGCTCCTCCCCCTGCCGCCTCCTCCCCCTGCCGCCTCCTCCCCCTGCCGCCTCCTCCCCCTGCCGCCTCCTCCTCCTGCCGCCTCGCCTTGCCTCCTCGTCATACTTATGCTCCCCTCGTCTCCCTCCTCCCCCCCCCCCCCCCCCCCCTCCCCCCCCCCTCCTACAACCTCTTCGTCTTCTTCTTCTCCTCCTCCTCGTCCTCCTCCTCCTCCTCCTCCTCCTCCTCCTCCTCCTCCTCCTCCTCCTCCTCCTCCTCCTCCTCCTCCTCCTCCTCCTCCTCCTCCTCCTCCTCCTCCTCCTCCTCCTCCTCCTCCCTCTCCCCCTGATCCATCCCCCTCGTCCCCTTCCCTCTCCCCCCTTCCCTCCCCCCTCTTTTATGCTTGCCTTCCGCAGGTCAAGCAGATGTCGGACCTTCGCAGGAAGCTTCCCGAGAGCACGTCGCTGGTGGTGATGAAGAACTCGCTACTGGAGAAGGCTATAGAGGGGACGGAGTTCGAGGCGCTCAAGCCGGCCATGACGGGCATGAACGCCTTTCTCTTCGTGCACGGGGAGGAGATCCCTCCTGCTCTCAAGCCCTTCAGGTACGTATTCACAGAAAGGATCAATTAGTAACCCTTCAGGTACCAAATAGTTCCCCTGGCGCCTCAAACGATGCGGGTGCTTGTCTCCTTGGAGGAAACATTCTGTCACTCTTCATGTGTCTTTGAGACCAATCCCCCTGCCCCCCCCCCCCTCCGCCCCCCGACACCAGGGAGCTGCAGAAGGAGCTGAAGCTGGAGGAGAACGACTAAGTTTTCACAAGAGTCACTGCCCCCCATCCCCCCCGTATCCCCCCCCCCATCTGCTCCCCCATTTTTCTATCACCAGGGAGCTGCAGAAGGAGCTGAAGCTGGAGGAGCATGACTTTACAGGCTACGTGTTCGAGGGGAAGCTCTATGGCCACTCCAACACGGCCTCGCCACCTGCTCCCATCCACACTTGAGGAGCCACCTGCCTCTGTCCCTGCCCTCTCCCGTCCTCACCCTCCCCACTTCCCCCTTTTCCCCTCCCTTTGTCCCCCTTTCCCCCTCCTCCTTCCCCCTTTCCTCCTGCTCCTCCGCCCCCGCTCTCCCTTCTTTGCCGCTTCTTATACCAGGGAGCTGCAGAAGGAGTTGAAGCTGGAGGAGAACGACTTCACAGGCGCTGTATTCGAGGGCAAGTTCTACGACCCCGCAGACATGGCCTCGCTTGAGACACTGCCTGCCCTTATCCGCGTTCCCACTCGCCACCTGCTCCCATGCACGCTTGAGAACCCATCTGCCTCCGTCTCTGCCTTCTCCCCTCTCCCCGTTTCCGTCTTCCCCTCCCCCCTTCGCCTTCCCCCCCTTTCCTTCCCACCGTCCCTTGCTCCTCCTCCTCCTTTTCCCCCAACCAGGGATCTGCAGAAGGAGTTGAAGCTGGAGGAGAACGACTTCACAGGCGCCGTGTTCGAGGGCAAGTTCTACAGCCCTGCAGACATGGCCGCTCTTGAGACGCTGCCCAGCCGCGCTGAGGTGTACTCGAAGATGCTGGGCGTCATGCAGTCGCCCGCCAGAGACGTGGTGTCGACCCTCCAGGTAGGTGCTATGCATGTGCTCATCTGTGTGTGTATGGGTGTGTGTGTGCGTGCGCACGGATGTAAACGCATGTGTGCTTTGTGAGGGCACTCGAGACGCTGCCCAGCCGTGCTGAGGTGTACTCGAAGCTGCTGGGCGTCATGCAGCCGCCCGCCAGAGACGTGGTTTCCACCCTCCAGGTGTGTGCATTGCATGTGTGCGTGCATGTGTGGGTGCATGTGTGAATGCATCTGTGTGTGGGTGAGAGTGGAATGATTATGTCCCTGCCCAGGCAGCCCAAGGTGTGCTCCAAGCTGCCTGCGAGATGCCCGTGCCACGTGCAGAAATGCAAGGCCTCCCCATATTCCAATGGTGCGTGTCTGTAACACTTGGTACCAAGCCCTTCCCTTCCCTACCCCCTACCCCTCTGCCCCCTCTCCCGCTGTGCAGGCGCCTGCTCGCGATTTGATCTTCACCCTCAAGGCCCATGTGCAGAAGCTGGAGGAGGCGGAGGGCAGCCAATGAGTGCCTCCCTGTTGCAGCGTACAAGCCTTTGATTAGCCGGTGCTAGGAACTGTCCAGCCTGAAAGGCACTGATTAGACGGGTGTCATCTGCCTGTTACAGAACGTACAGATCATGCCATTCAAATGTACTGATATGGGTATAAAATAACGACTTCCTGCAATCGTGTACAGCCATGTCAGTTTGACCATGGAGTGAAATATCTCTCTTTGCGTTCACCAAATTACGCTTTAGGAAGGACAGTAACATGCGTGTACCATAATGGTGTCAACGAAATTCGCTTTTCGTCGCAGTTAATGAGTGCGCGACAGTGTAACGAGGTGGCGAAAGCTTGCGTGCCTGCTCAGATCACACACATGAACCGACCAGATCCTGCCGTGCTGACACGAGCTTGATGGTTGCCAGCGGACGAGGCTTCCGAGAGTGGTACAGTGTGATAGCGCGTATAATCTACAAGGTTTTGAGAGATTTAGAGCCTTGTTCCTGGAGAAACTGATGAGGACAAAGGGGGTGAGCCAGGGAATGCTTGAAATTTGAAGAATGTTGGTGGCAAGGCAACTCGCCAATCCCGTCTCACATTTCTCAGCTCTGTGCTTTCACTTGAACTCTTACAGCCTAGTCTGCAGCTGCAGCTGTACTGTAATTAGTACCCCCCAAAAAATGCAGAGTACCACGGCGAACTCAAGATAAACCGCTCTCAACCATACCAGATGATGCTAGTAGTGTGTCAAGAAAGGGCCACCCAGCCCAACTTCAGGTTGGAGTTATGGGGGTGGCAGAGGCAGGGTGAGAGCGAGGCGCTGAGCTGAAGTATTTGGGAACAAGCAGCGCAGAATGGAAAAGCCAAGCTTCAGGGAGAACTTGCGGTGGTCGATGCGAGGGACTTACGGTTTCGTGAAAAACTGGCTATTTATCAGGCACAACTTCCAGAAAATGCACTTGCACTACGCAACTTCGACATCGGTGCGCCCTCGCACTCTCCAAGGCAGAACCTCTCGTTCCCTAGCCCCCCTCGCGCCTCAAGCCTAGCATTCCGCTCGCTATCCCCGGCGACTTTACGCTCTAACATTCCGCTCCCCGTTAACATTCCTTGCGATCTTCGACGATCGACTTTCTCGGCGCTCGTTCCGGCAGTCAGCGTTTCCTCCCTCCCATCCAATTTCTCGTTCTTTTTCCCATTCCAACACCCCAAACATCTGAACCAATACGTTCCACATAATGCCGCGACAACAGTTGAGATAAATGCAACGCGGCTTTCGACTTAGACGATGCAGGGAACAATGCTCTCATGGTCACCTCGGTAGGCGGCAACCAGGCCGTGCTCTGCCGCTTCTCGTGCCGCTGCTGCTGGCGGCGCTGTTCGTGCCGCGAGCGGCGGACTCGGCGTGCTCGTCGGTGCGGCAGGTGGTGGTGGTGGGCGCAGGCATGTCGGGCGTCTCGGCTGCCCACCGCATCGCCACCACCAACGGCGAATGCTTCAAGGTGTGCTGGGGCGCGCAGGGTGAAATGCGTACTAGGGTTGGAACAAGCTTCACAACAAAATACTTGTTCAAAGAGTTTCTCCTCTGAAATTCACTCAAGGGATCTTACCAAGGAAGGAACTCTCAAACAGCAAGAACTACCTTTTAATTCCTACGAATATATTTTATGCTAGTAGTGTATTTACATTTCAGACATGCGCCTCCTAATGTCGATTCGGGTGGCCAGCCTAGACATCGACCGCATCCTATTTCTATTCACAATTGTACAGTTCACAGCAATCGTACACGTGTACATTTCTTAACCATCCGATTCTGGAATTCCGCCACCTCCCCAAGTCATTCAATGCACGAAACTTATGTTTCGTCCTCCTTCGTGGGTTCCCCACGTCCTGCCCACGTTTGCCCCTGCGCTGCCCACGTTCGCCCCTGCGCTGCCCACGTTCGCCCCTGCGCTGCCCACGTTCGCCCCTGCACGCGGCTGCTGCATGTTTCTGCCTCCCGTGCACTTCACGCTGGCTCCTGCGCAGGTACCACTTGTTACCCATGCACGATCAACACTTAGTTAGTGCAGCAGATTTTGACCTCCGCTTCCCTCCCCTCCTTCCCTTCGCCCCTGCTCCCCCTTGCCCCCTGCCCCCACCTCCTCCCTTCCCCCCAGATGGCAGTGGTGGAGGCGCGCGGCAGGGTGGGCTGTTGCATGTGGTGTGCAAACTAACAGCCCCCCCCCCTTTTCTGCTCTTCCCCCCACCCCCCCTTACTCCCAATCCCCCCCTTCCCCCCTCCCCGCCCTTCCCCCACCCATCCACGGTAGTGGATAGAGGCGGGCGGCAGGTCTTCTCATCTCTTCCTCTTCTCCCTTTTCCCCCCTTCTCCCCCCACCCCTCTCTCGCCTCCCTAGGTGACATCGTGACAGTGGTAGAGGGCTGGGCTGCTACCGTTGGACTGCAACGGCTGCTTATCTCTACCTCGCTCAACCCCTCCTCCCCACTCCAGGTGACGGTGGTGGAGGCGCGCGGCAGGGTGGCCTTTGCTCTTAACGGCCTCTTCTCTTTCCCCTTTCCCCCTCCCCCAGGTGACGGTGGTGGAGGCGCGCGGAAGGGTGGGCGGGCGCATGTGGAGCCGAACGGAGGCCGCCCCTGCCGGCTCGCCCACTGCGTTCCTGCGAGGCGAGATGGGCGCACAGTGGATCGAGGGCGCCACAGGTAACCCGGTTACCACCACATGCAGGTAACCCGGTTACAAATGCATGTAACAATATCCTGGTTACCATTCCATCCAACAGAAAACAAGGTTACCACCACATGCAAAAGGTGACATGGTTACCATCACTGCAGGTTGCCACCACCACATGCAACAGGTAATGTGATTACCATCACCGCATGTAACCCGGTTACCACCACCATAGATAGTCTGCCAATCACAGCCAGCTATCCAGTCTACCTAGGTTCTTCTCCTTCCTTCCATCACCCCTTCCTCCAACACCCCTCGGACCCCCTTCTCCTGTCCTTTCACCCTCACCCTTCCCCTTCCCTTTACCTGTGCTGCTCCCTTGCCCTTCTGCCTGCTCCGCGTGCCTCAGGAAACCCTGTTGCCGCCCTGGCTCGGCGGTTCAAGCTCAGAATCGGGCGGCAGAACGGGCGGGAGATACAGTACACAGCCAATGGGAAGAGATACGGGGAGCCCAGGTGGACGGCAGCGGAGGCGGATTATCAGACGTTGGTACGGCAAGGCTTGGCCTGGGCGAACAGACAGGACAAGGACGTGAGCCTGCAGCAGGCGTTCACCAGCGGGCCGTGGAAGCGGCGAGTGTTTATGAAGCCTTATGTTCAGGTAATTTGGGAGGGTAGAGGGGTACGGGGAGAGTGAGGGAAGAAGGGAGGGTGGAAGAGGTGGGGTAATGGGAGTGGGAAGGGGGAGTGAGGTGGGGCGGGAGAATATGAGGAAGGGTATGGATGAGTGTGGCATGGGTTGGCATGGGATAGAGGGGGAGGGAGGGGGACTGATGTGGGGAGTGGAAAGCGGAAAGGGGAGTGGAGGGGAAAAGGGAAGGAAAGCGAAGGAAGAAGCACAGGAGGGAAGAATGTGAGGTGGAATGGCAGAATAAGTGCCCAACCCAACCCCAGTATTTCCCAACTAATGCGTGCTTGTCCCCCAGCCAAACCTAGTCTCGCCTCTCAGTGGCCTTTGAGTTCACCTCCCTCCTCCCCTCCCCGCTCCCTCCCCACATATCCCCTCTCCTCCCCCCCTCCCCACACCTCTGGTCTTACAATTCCTTACGTCTCCATAGTCGTGTCTGTCTTTTAGTTACTTATCCATTTTCTTGCCTGTGTTGCAGTTACATCTCCATATTCCTGCCTGTGTTGCAGTTACATCTCCGTATTCTTGCCCGTGTTTAAATTTCATCTCCATATCCTCGCATCCACTCCCAGTCGCGCCTCTCAGTGGCCTTTGAGTTCAACTTTGCCGGCCCTCTCTCTGGTTTCACAATCCATTACATCTCCATATTCTTCTTGTGTTTCCCAATCCACCGCCAGTCGCGTCTCTCAGTGGACTTTGAGTTCGACTTTGCCGCCCCTCTCTCGCGCCTCTCTGCTTGGTACTTTGACTCGCTTGCCTTCAAGCCGCCCACTGTGGTGGTTACCAACGGCTACGACAACATCCCCCAGATGCTCATGCAGGTGAGGGAGTTGCTGAGTATAAACGGAGGAGGGAGGGTTGGGAAGGAGGGAGGGAGAGGAGGGGGGGGGGGAGGGGGAGGGGGGAAGCGAGGGGACGGGCCTCAAGGATCAGGCTGACCTGATGGTAAATATAGGTTTTTATATAAGGATAAGAAGGAGATTCTCACAGGTAACGCAGGAAGGAGTAGATATCGACGGGAGAAGGAAAGTGGGAGGGTGGGTGGAAGGTCACACGTAGTGGAGGGTGGAGGGGCAAGAGAGAGAGAGAGGGATTTCGGAAGGAAGAGTGCGCTAGAGGGGAGAGTGGGACCAGAGGGGAGGGAGTAAACTTTGGGTCGATGAAAGCGCAAGGCGAGTTTCCACTCCTTTCCACTCCCCTCCACTCCTTCAAATCCGCATTCCTCACTCATGACTCCTCCCACTTCTCTTCTCTCCTCTTTTCTCTCCCATCACACCCCTCATCTTCCCCCACCCAACCATACACATCACAGGAAGCAGTGGCAGCAGGGGCAGTTCTAACCCTCAACTTCGAGGTAACCGCCATCGCACAGTCCTCTACCGGCGTGCAGATCACGGGAAAGAACACCGCCACCAACGCCATTACCACGCTGGACGCTGACGTGGTAATCGTCACAATCCCTCTCGGGGTGCTCAAGGCCAACACCATCGCCTTCTCCCCGCCGCTCCCCCCCCGCAAGGCTGGTGCCTTGGCGCGCCTGGGAGTGGGCGCCATCGCCAAAATCTTATTTTTTTTCAACCAGACCTTCTGGCCGGTCAACGTGGACGAATATTTCATCGAGGATTCGCAGCTGCCCGCGAATCGCGGGCGGTGGGTTGACTGGGTGAACCTGAAACGAGTCTGGGGACAGACAGCCTTAATGGGGGTCGCCCTGGGGGAGTATGCGGAGCGGATGAATGGGATGAGCGATGAGGAGGTGATTAACGACGCCAAGGCGAAGATGGCGCGCATGTTCCCGCAGTACCGCAAGAAGCCGCTTGAGCCGCTGGCCACTTGGATCCAGCGGTGGACGGCCGAACCGTATTCGCGGGGCGCGTACAGCTATGCGCGCGTGGGCGTGCGGGGGAACGAGGATCACTGCACGGACTATGATGTGATGGCGCTGCCCGAGGGGAGGGTGCTGTTTGCGGGGGAGCACACCATCTGGCAGTACCAGGCCACCGTGCATGGCGCCCTGCTCTCCGGCGTCCGCGAGGCCAAGCGCGTGCTCAGGAACTTCTGACGAGTGCTAGATCCCTTTCTGCTACGTGTGTTCTGCTGCCTGTGCTAGTATGACTGAATTAGTTAAAAAAAAAAAAAAAAACCATAGCAATCAAGGCTCATTCTGTAATCTCGCAGCATCAATATTCAGAGTTGCTACGAAACAAAAATCCTGAAAATCAGTATGAGCAGTAGTGCTTTCCCTGATGTCATGGTTGTCCTTTGCCTGGGTGGTGTTGCTAGTACTACCGGTAATTAAGCTGGTGTCAAAACTATATGGTTATACATTGTTCGGCTATAGTGGGGCTAGCCTTAGGGGGTACGTCATTCTAGGGTTTCATACTCGTACTCCCATCCTGTTAGTCAAAGTCATTCCGCTGTTCGTACTTCTTAACATGGTATCATTGGGTACGTAGGTTAGGTCTGTGCCTTCTGCCCGTCACTGCTACTGTAGCTGTTTTGCCCCACGCTACCACTCTGCCCTGCCCTGCCCTGACCCGCGCCCCGCTGCCCCGAGCGCTGCTGCCCCGCTGCCCCGCGCACCCCTGCTGCCCTGCGCGCCCAGCGCACCCCTGCTGCCCTGCGCGCCCTGCGCGCCCCGCTGCCCTGCACGCCCCGCTGCCCTGCGCACCACTGCCCCACGTGCCCCGCTGCCTTGCGCGCCCAGCGCGCCCCGCTGCTCTGCGCACCCGGCGCGCCCCGCTGCCCTGCGCGCCTCGCTGCCCTGCGCGACGCTGCACCGCGCGCCCCGCTGCCCTGCGCTCCGCTGCAGCGCGCTGCAGCCCTGCTGCCCCGCGCACCCCGCTGCCCCGCGCGCCCTGCTGCCCTGCGCGCCCCGCTGCCCTGCGCGCCATTGCACCGCACGCCCCGCTGCCCCGCGCACTGCTGCCCTGCGCGCTGCCGCCAGTGCACCGCACTGCCACGACTGCCCTGGCATCGCCGCTGCTGCCCCGTGCGCCACTGCTGCCTACGCACCGCCGCCGCTGCCGCCCTTGCGCTGTTGCTGTCCGTGCGCCATTGCTGCCCGCGTGCCGCCGCCGCTACCGCCCGTGCGCCGCACCGCCGCTGCTGCTGCCGCCCTTGCGCCGCTACTGCCCGCGCGCCACCCGTGTGCGCCGTCTGCGCTGCCGCCGGCGCACCACTCACTGGCCGGCCCGCTGCCGCTGAGCCGCGCCACCTGCCATGGCGACCGTCACTGTACTAGCGTTTGACGCAGAGGGGCGCCCTATAGAGTTCGAGTCCTGGCTAGAGGACCGGCACCTGTGTCACTAGGGACGACGTCTCACTGTTCGAGCACACGTCGGGGTCCCTTACAGCCCCCGCGACTCCAGCTGAGCCTGCTACTGAAGCTGGGAAGGAGGTGCTGCGGCAGTACCGGGCTGACCGCTTTGCCTGCACACGGTGGACGACACGCGACGCCACTCGACCAGAGCGCCCACTTTCGCCAGGTGACGTCGGCCCAGGATCTCTACCACGCTGTGGTTAGACACTACTCCTTCCCCTCTGCTGCCACCCTAGGCCGTCTTACACTGCCGTTTCTCTTCCCTGGCCTGTCTGACTTCACCACTGTAGCTGACCTCCTGCCTCACCTGCGCTCCCTTGACGCCCGCTACCGTGCTACTCTCCGGCCAGAATTTCTGGTTGAGAACCAGCCCCCCCATGTATCTCACTCTCTACTTCCTCAAGACTCGCCTCCCTGACTCTCTTCGCGCCGTTCCATACCACTTCCTCTCCGTAGACCCCACTGAGCTCACCCTTGCCTCGTTTGAGACCCGTCTCCTCGAGGCTGCGACCAATGCCCGCGTTGTAGCTGCCTCCCGTGGCTCTCCCAGCCTCTCCTTCTTTGAGGGGTGCTCCCCCTCCCTTCTAGCGCCCTCTGTTGCCTCTGCTGCTGCTTTTGACTTCCGCGGTGCTGAGGAGGTCGGTGCTACGTCTGCTTCTAGCGGGAGGCGCCACAGCAGGGGTGGGCGGACGAGGGGTGGGGGCGGTGGAGGTGGTGGAGGTGGCGGTAGCGATGGGGGTGGCGGGGGTGGTGGAGGTGGCGGTCACTGTGGGAGTGGCGGGGGTGGTGGAGGCAGTGCGGGTACCCTGGGTGGAGGATAGGGCCTGGGTGGCAGTCGAGGTGGAGCTGACGGGGGTGGAGGCCCAGGTACAGCGACCCAGGTGGTTGCGTCTGGTGGTGTAGAGGCTGCTAGTGTAGGTGCTTGTGAGTCTGCTAGCACAGGTGCAGTTCCTGCGGAGGCTTTACTCACCTTCGCGCTGGACTAAGACGCCTCTCGCTGCTTCTTCCGCGATTGCACCATAGTCGCACCGCTCACAGCATCTGTCCCTGTCACTCTGGTTGACCCCTCCTCTGGCCCAATCGTTGCATGCGGCTCCACCGTTCTTCCTGTCAAACTATATTTCTATATAGTCTATATAGTTTTAGTCTAGGTGTTGTACATTCTCTTTCTTGTGCAAGAACTATTGCTAGGGTTTGCTATAACTTGTTTGTACCTTCATTCCCTTAGTCATTTTTCTTCACCCGTAAGTCTCTCGACATGGTATAGAGCTAGAACGTCCTATGGGCCCACCTCCCCCGTAGCGCCCTAACGCCCGAAGCGCCCCGTCACCTCACTAGTTCTCGCGTCACCCGTCTTGCCCCGAGCGCGCCACCCGTTTTTTTTTCCCCCTCGCGTCACCCGTTTTTTTTTCCCGCTCGCGTCACCCGTTTTTTGCCCCGCGCCCCACTCGTTCTGCCCCACGCGCTACTCGCCAGCCCGCTAGCGCGCAGCCATAGGCGTAGCCGCAGCCACGCGCAGCCGTAGCCGTAGCAGTAGCCGCGCGCAGCCGTAGCCGCATGCACGGCCGCTCGCGCAACCGCACGCACACCCGTACGCAACCGCACGAGCAGCCGCGCGCGACGGCCCGCACAGCAGCACGCGCAGCCGCACGCTCGAACGCACGCGTCGCAGCTCGTGCAGCCCGCTCGCCGCACCACTGCCGCCCCAAACGTTCCCGCTGCCTCACCTGTAGCCCGCCGCCCCAGCCAGAAATGCCACCCCACCCTTAACTTGCCACTAGAACCGTACCCAGTCGCCTCACCCGTTCAGCCGCCCCAGCCAGACCAGCCGCCCCTGCTCGTAACCAGCCACCCCACCTGTACTCGTGCTAGCCCGCCCCCCCCACCCCCCCCCCCCCCCCCCCCCCCCCCTAGAACCGCACAGAACTGCACTAAACCGTACAGAACCGCACAGAACCGCACAGAACCACACAGAACTGCACTGAACCGTACAGAACCGCACAGAATCGCACAGAACCGCACAGAACAGCACCTACTGCTCCACCTGTACTAGTCAGAGCTGCTCCCACGATCTGAATCCTCCGCCCCACGCACTGAAACCCGCCACCAGCAGCACCACAGTAGCTTAGGCTACCGCCACCGCACCAGCAGCAGCTTAGGCTGCCCCCAGCAGAACGAGCAGCAGCTTAGGCTGCCCCCAGCGCACCAGCAGTAGCTTAGGCTGCCCCTAACAGAACCAGCAGCAGCATAGGCTGCCCCCAGCGCACCAGCAGCAGCTTAGGCTATCACCAGCGCACCAACAGCAGTTTAGGCTGCCCCCTGCAGAACCAGCAGCAGCATAGCCTGCCCCTAGCACACCAGCAGCAGTTTAGGCTGCCCCCAGCAAAACCAGCAGCAGCATAGGCTGCCCCCAGCAGAACCAGCAGCAGCTTAGGCTGGCGCCAGCAGCACCAGCAGGAGTTTAGGCCCGCCTGCAAGAACCACCCTCCCCCCCCCGTTTCTAGCTTCTCACATGGCGTGTACTAGTGTTTGGCAGCAGCAGGGTCAGCCGCAGCACTCCCGGCAGTGGGGACCTGCGGGTCCAAAGTGTGGCGCCCCCAACAGTGGCTCAGCTAGCAGTGGGCGAGACGTCGGCCCCTGCGGGTACCGGGCCCTGACAGGCCCTGGTGCTGGCACTACCTGCTGGAGTCCTGACCACTCTGCGTCCAGCTGCTACCGTCGGCTCGACGACCTCCACCGTGAGCGTTTTGGTCCTCACGCTATTACACCGCACTGGCCCTCGCGTCTTCGCCAGCGCACTGTTGCACCAGTTGAGTCTCTCCTACCTGGTCTAGGACCTTTCCCAGCTGCACGAGTAGAGACACGTGTTTCCAGTATTGGTGCGTGTGTTGTTCCTAGTCCTGGCGCCTCTGAGCGTCTTTGTGTAGGAGCTGCAGCTACCACTAGTCTAGCACCAACCTTTGTCGCTGGTGTCAAGCTATATTTATTATAGCTCATTTGTGTTAGTCTAGGTGTACTTAACGTTTTCCTAGGGTTAGGGTTACACTTCCTATATCTTGCTTATTTCTCACTTTCCTTAGTCAATTCATTCCCACGTTACTAGTTTTAACATGGTATAGAGCTAGTTAGTTCCTATGGGCCCACCGCCCCGTTTTCACCCGTTAGCACGCATTACCCGTAGCGCCACGTCGATTTTCGCGCCTCGTCCTTAGGATCCCACTGCCCGAACGCGTCTCGACCTAGTAAGGCCCCCGTGGGCCCGCAAAATCGAGCTAAAACGACCCCCGCGGGTCCCCCTTCCCTCCCCCCCGTCGTCGCGACCTAGGCGCGCACGCGCGCACGCACGCTAAGGCCAAACGCGCGCGCTAGAAAGCCCCCCCGCGGCCCGCCACGTCGCCTCCCTGTCACGTTTCCCGTCGCCTCGCTGGCTGTCTTTCCTCCTCACCGACCTTGGTGAGCGGCCTCGCTGTCCCCCAGTCTTGTTCGCCGACAACAGGTCTGCTATCCTGTTGTGCAAGGAGCCCCGACTGGTTGGGAAGGCGAAGCACATCCAGCTTCGTTACTTCCTTCTGCGCGAGTTGCAGCAGCGTGGCCAGGCCCGCGTGGTACGTGTGGTCTCTGAGGCCAACACTGCTGATATCTTCACCAAGGCGTTGCCGCCTTGTCATCACCAGCGTTTCTGCACCCAGCAGGGCCTTGTGTCTACAGGCCCTCACTTGCTTGCGTAGAGATGCGTTGCA